CTTATGCTCGTAGCATTTCTCTTTCAGTGTGATTTTTTGGGTTGAAATTTCAAAAATAATCATTATTTGCGGTCCCTTCTTAATAGTATTTAGAAGAAGCACATCGTACTAACTGAAATTTTTTCGCCTGCGGGATATTAGAAGTAGGTACACTTTTAGATGCATGCATGTGCATTTTGCAAGCCTTTTATCTCGTATCTCTGTATTTCACTAACTCACTGTGTGAGGAAACCAAATAATGTAGTTATTTCTTAACAGAAGTGCCTAAAATTTAACAATTTGGCCAAGTTAAACCCAGCTGAAGCTAATTTTCAGTATTTCTCTTACTAGAGCCTGAAACTATACTTATTATTTAGTAAATTTATGGCGCTTTTACGTTCTTTGACAAATTACGCTCTGCTAGCCATAAATTTTACTATGTTTTGACCGCCTTCGTATCAAGACCCCTGGACCATCTAGGGAATTAATTTATATTCTATATTGTATTGTCATCGTGATTGGAACTATGCTGAAAATTTCAAGTCTCAGGCGTGTCGGGAAGTTAGTTTAAAATCGATTGGAGATTTCCGCGGGATGACCAAGTAAAGGCTTGTAAAGAGAGAACCATTTTGAAATATGAGTGTTTTTAAACAAAATATTTATATAATTTCTTTTTGTTATTTGGTCTTTACTTTTTTATTCTTCATATATCCCACGTAGTAATAATTTTTTAACCACTTGCAGAAAAAAGGTAGCCGAAGTTTGAGCAGAACTGAGTACAAAAGTTGTATTCAACTTCTTGATATTCGACTAAAAAAAGTTTGGAAAGTCACTATCGATTTAGCATGTATTTTTTCCTTGAATCAACGATCCGCATTTTTGTATATGTATTTATTTATCTATTTAGAATACGCGTTCAGTTTACGTATCCATATAAAAACAAGATAATTTAATTTTTAGCAAAAAAACCGACTTCCACTCCCAACCACCTCTGAGACACTACCTTTACGATGCAAAAAGAAATCGGTTGACGTGGTCCAAAGTTATGCAGTAACATAAAAAAAAAAATAAAAATAAATAAATAAATAAAAAAAAGTAAAAAAGATATTTCGACGAACTGATAACCTCCTCCTTTTTTGGAAGTCGGTTTAAAAAATCGATAGCTCTGTGCCTACATCCGAAAATAACGAAAATCACTGTTTATTCGAATTTGAGCGCTTTTCTCTCATTTATGAAAAGGTTTAGCAAAACTTTTTATGAGAAATTCGGATGCGTTGATTATTAATCTACAAATATATCAACATATTTAGTTTACTGAAAAATTGATATTAACCTACCTAATTCTGAAACCAAGGAAAAACTATATCTACTCACAGAAGTAAGCTAAACTTTTTATGCCAGTATCAGCTTCCTTGTATGACACATTACAAAACACTTTTATTATCAAATTGAAACGAGGCCTGCAAAAAAGGGCCAAATTTCAAAGTTTTTAATTTAATTGAAGAGATCTACCTTAAATGCGAAGGTCAAAAGGCCAGAAAATTGATATCTGTATAATTTTCGCGCATTCTGCATTGCATCAGCTACAAAATGGCATTCGATTCATTTCGCTATCTGCTTTGGATCATACGATTTTCTTTTTAATATTTTTTTATTGAGCTTTGTACCACGATTGTTTTATTAGGAAAAAATGAAAGAAGCAACAAAGTCTAAGCGGTAGAAGTTATAGCAGCTATTTCGGAGATCACCACATCTCCTCATCAGACTTCTTTTTTCTAGACTTCAGCAGGGATCGAACACGCGTCATCGATGTGTAAAGTCAGAATCGTCAACCACTGAGCTATGCACACCCCGTAAACTCGTGTTTCTTATTCATTTTCCTTATTCAACTTACTGCTATCAAGTGCAGTCGATTTTCCGCTATTTAAACTTGACAGCGTAGTTGTTGTTGTCAATTCTATAGATGCATTTGCTTTCTTGTATAGTTTCAGGCAGGCTCTTCCTTTTCCTTTTTGTCAAAAAATGTTTGCCCAAGATGAATTTTTGTAAAGAGACCAGAGGCGAAAATTAATTCAAGGCCATTCATTCAAAGCGTTACCCGATAATGGTAGCAGAGAATGTGGCTTCCCCTATCATTGAAAGACTGGGTGGAAAGGTATTTGGCTTCACTTGGCTCTTTTAATTAGCGTCAGTTATTACAAAAGGGAAACACGTGGCGTGCTTTACTCTGCCAAAATAAAAAAGAATGTTTATACGAAAGCTTTTTCTACCTGCGATCATCCATTGGGAATCCTTCTTCGCCGCTTTTAAATCGCTGGCATTGTGTGTTTATATCTACACAATCGCAGCGACAATTCAACGTATTCGCAAGACGTAAATTTATATCAGGCCACTGTTGTGCTTGTTGCCATCTCATATTCTCTTGGAATACAATAAAATGCCTCGGACAACGACAAACCGCACCAAAATAATCCTCGTTGTTGTCGTTAAGGCCAGTACGATCTTCCACCTGATTTTGTTGATCTCTGCGCCTAAACGCGAAACCGGAACGCTTATCCCGTGTGAATAACTCTGGTGCAGAGAAGTCTGTACGATTTATGCAGTGGCATTCGGTATCGTTTCGTAGTCGTAAAATTTTTATTTGAGGCCGTGAGTTACTCGAGTTCACTTGAATAACCTGCAATAGAAACAAAGAATTTTTTAACAAACAAACGTACCGTGAATATATCGAGCCCAGACCGCCATAATAACGTAAGCGACATTTTTTTCAAAATTTTCTTTTTTTTTGCAGAAATATTCCTAGCGCACTTAATGCATTTCTGCATAAAAAAGAAAATTTTGAAAAAAATGTCGCTTAAGTTACTTTGGGGGTTAGGGCTCGATATGTATTTACATATGTACATAACAGAGACTGGAAATAACTGGTACACTTTAAATACATTGTAACTTTTTCTATCATTTACAATTTACTTTTTACTTTTTGTGATATAGATATCACGGAGAGAACGCTTTATGTGAGAAATGTTAATGTTGCAAATCTGACAGCGATCGAAAAAAATCAACCTAAGTTATTTATGAAAAAGTTTTTATTTAAAAGATCAGTTAGCAATATTTATAATGGATCATAAAAAAAATTTCATGAAACATGGTTGGGCGAAGTGGTATTTAATAAATTCTTAGCACTAAGTATTTTCACAGCACTAAATACTAACTACACAAGTATTTAGTTAGTTTCACTTAACGAAACACCACTTTAAAATGCACTAGTTTTGACATGACTAAATAGTAAATACTTGCTACCACAGTATACCAGTAGAAAAGGTTTTTGTTGTTGTGGCTGTTAATTTGGTCCCCATAAAGGACTTGAGGGTTGCCAGCAACTGTTTTGCCGCATAAATGGCGAGAGAAATATTGTTGTGCGCTTTATAAGTAAATATGACCGTAATAAAATGTTTTATACTTCAATACAACTAATTAGCGCTAATTTTGCAATTCGAAATGATCTTAAAAATATTTGTAGTGAAATATGTACTTTATGAGTTAAATGGAGACTATCTTATATGTAAAAATATATTCCGATTTACTTCAAATAAATGATGTAACATGTTTTATATATGGATCTAGTTTTAATAATAATATCTAGTACTTTCATCTACATTGCTTTTATTGTAAGTTTTCACGAGTAGTTGCAGTTTTCTGCAATTGTCTCTGGCCGACTATACATGCTAAAGCTAAGTAATTTCACAATTTCTACCCTATTAAACGTTTATATTTTAATAAAATGTGATCAATTACTTAAGAATATATAATTTCCGATCAAACTATAACACTGAATGCTTGAGAAACAATTATTTAAATCAAATGATCAATAGTGAACGCACTCGGAGCGAATTTTGGAACACTGAGCGAATTATGCATATTAACAGTAAATTATTTCTAACTTTCTACCCTATTAAACGTTTATATTTTAATAAAATGTGATCAATTACTTAAGAATATATAGTTTACGATCAAACTATAGTACTGAATGCTTGAGAGACAATTATTTAAATCAAATGATCAATAGTGAACGCACACGGGGCGAATTTTGGAACACGGAGCGAATTATGCATATTAACACTAAATAATTTCTAACTTTTATACCGTTTTATACGTTTATATTTCAATTTAATATGATTAATTACTGAATAATATATAAACTCCGATCAAACTTCACTACTGAATGCTTGACAAACAATATTTGAATCAAAAGATCAATAGTGAACGCACTCGGAGCGAATTTCGGCACACGATATAAAATATGCCTGTTAAGACTAAGTAATTTCTCATAAGCTTATGTTTTAATATAATATAATTCATTACTGAAGAATATATTAACTCCGATCAAACTATAGTATTAATTGTTTGACAAACTATTTAAATCAAATGATCAACAGGTAGCCCGCTGGGAGCGAATTTTGGAACAATTCATAAAATATTTACAGAGGAAGTACATTATTTGGATCAAAATGTATTTAACAAAGTGTGATTGAATTTGACATTGCTCTCAGAAGAACCATCCTATAGTCAAATTGAAAAAAATTTGTATGAATTTTGAATCGTTTGTTTATATTTTTTTACGTAATAGTATCTTAAAAGAGAGCCGCACTGAGTTGTCAATAACACCTTGGGCCGTATGCATAAAAACTTAGCAATTACTTTTTCTCAGATTTTCATACCTTTCACTTACATTTATTTGAAAAAATTGAGTGAAAGGCATGATAAAAATATAGTAAGGTAGAACCGCTGAGAGTTACTTTTCAAATTCTTGACGTTTGCAAACAATTTAATTTTAAAATTCTACACACAAACTCACACACACATTCTCATTTTCAATCTCAAACAACAACAACTTTGAACAATTCCTTTTTTTTACTCTCAATTTTATATGATTTTAAAATGTTGGCAAACTTCAGAAAAAAATCATGGCCGACGAATTGAGAGAATGAATTTACCTTGTAATGTTTTTATCATGCACCCATGATACAAATATTTAAAGGTAAAACCGCTTGCACAATTCGTCGGCCATCATTTACTTTTTGAAGTTTGTCTATTTTATAAAATTGAAATTTTGAGAGCAACTCAAATGCCAAATAAAGGTAAAACAAAAAACAAATAGATGAAAATATTGAAATTTTCATTTATTTGAGACTGATAATGAGAATGTATTTGTGAGATTGAAAATTTGAAAACATTTTTGTAATGTTACCAAACTTTAAAAATGTTAAGGCTGCCTTTCAACGGTTTTACCTTCAGATTTTTGTATCATGAATACACCTTAGTCGAAATATCACGAACAAGTTTTTCTTTATTTATTTTTGCTTAAAATCCTTAAATATGTATCTTGATTTTTTTTCTGTAGAATACATATTAATTTTTTTTTAACGATTTAAAAAAAGGGAGACCAGTCGGATCTACGTAACCAGAACGACCTGAATGCGCATTGAAATCGGTTGTATTTTTTGCTAAAAATTATTTGTTATTATTGATATACAGTTTCGCTACTATTTAGAGATTTCTCGACATACTTTTTCATATTACTGTTATTTATTATTTTTCTTATTAGTCATTTATATGTTTAGGACTTACTGTGGGTGCTTTAAGATTCATTTTGAAAATATGTATGTACATATAAAAAACAATTGCGATATTTTATTTTAAATTATGAATTTTATTCGTGCAATTTTTTATGTTTAATAGTTTTGAGGAAATTTTTTGGTTCTGTTGATTCTTTTATTGCATGCCTTAAACTTTTTTACTTTAAGTTATAATGTTGAAGATATGCCTTCTGCCTTTGTCAAGCACTTTAGATAGGTGCGAGAAATTTAACATATGCGCGTAAGAGCATAGAGTAGGTATACGGCTGTGCTGCCGCGATTCTCCAACATCTTGTCAAAGGAGAAAACATATTGGTGGCGGAATCCATCGTAGTCCAATTTTTCTTAAAATCTACGAAAAAGCGATCACTGAATCTGAACTGCTATGAACGTGTGTATTCAAAGCAAGCGCTGCGTTCGTAGCTACTCGAACTTAATAGCATTTTCGTAGATTTCACGAAAAATCGGACTACGATGGATTCTATGATAGCCTTGATTAGTTCGTGCGATTATGACTTATGGATCGATTATGGATGGGAACGGAACCTCAGTTGGGTTGCCGATGGACAGCGGCACTGAAATGAAAATGTTTTTTATTATGAATAGCAATAATTAAGTTTCATAAAGTTCAAGGTGGTACAATTTAAAAAAAAGTTGAAAAAAGGAATAAAGTATCTCAATCAAAAATTCCCGGCAGCCACAAAAACGCACTTTCCAATATAGCAACTTAGTTGCCAGCTTTCAGTTGCTAGTTGCCATCGGTAATACCATTTCAGCCACTGGTCAACCAACTGAAGTTCGGTTGTCCTCCGTAATCGACCCATAAAATCGGAATCGAATATGCATGCACGTTCTGGCGTACGACAAATATTTTTTAAATGTGTGCTCTGTCCGCTAACGAATTCCAGCCATGTGTGAAATATCGTATGTGAAGCCTCCGTCTGACTTAACGATTGTCAAAGGCATGCCAGAAGATGTTTCATCATATGTTTTCGGCCATCGTCTTCTTCGAGTAAGTTCATCGATACCAAAAACTTTACAACCTATATTTGCCAGCAGCCCTTAGTGTTTTTGCCAATGACATGGCACTATTGCACTGTTAATAACCAAATTAAGCCGCAGTTGCATTCACACGTGATATAATAGCTAGTGTCGGCAAGCTGTGGGAATGCCCAGGAGATGGCGTTTGTTCAGCTATCGAAATCATTACACCGACGGCGGTGGGCAGCTCTGCTGGAACATATTTACCACAGCAGTGGTTGCGGCGTTTTGTTCTGCAACAATAGCCTGCAATGATGACAAGTCATATAATGTCGACGAACAAAGCTATACAATTTAAAATGACTAACCTTATTCCCGGCCGATTTGGGAGACCACCCTTGGTCACGACCAGAACGCATTTACCAAGAGGAAAAACCGCAGGGATTGCAGTAGTTCTTGCAATCACCGTTGCTGTTGCTGTGCTTGTAATTAATAGTCTGAAAATACAAAAAAATGCATTAATGAAATCTTATACACATCAAATAAATAAATTTCAATAATTTGTTTACCATTTCACAAACCGAATTACCAAGAAATAGAAACTCACCGCAATGCGATACAGAAATAAAAACCAACAGGGCTGCATTTTCTTGGTAAAAAACACAAGCGCTCAGAGCAAACTGATCCGCAAAATTATTTTGTAAAAAATAATAATTGAAAAGAGTGTTTACACATGATTATCACATTATCTCATAAGTGCAAATTATTGTGTTTATTTTAGTTGCATATAATTGTATTACCTTAGACTTTTTTTAAATGTTTTCTATTATTCAGAAGCAACCATGCGCTCAATTTCTTGTGGGGAAATTTGGTCCCCATAAAGGACTTTCACCACGGAACAGCTACAAAAACAAAAACCTTTTCTACTGGTATACTGTGCTTGCTACTTAGTATTAAAAAAAAAAAGAATTTCGAGGTGTTTGGTCCTATTTCTTGTCATTGGACTACTTCGGAACTGTTTAGGAATTTCGATTTTATCGGGACGATTGGGTATTTTCTGAACTATTTTCGGCACAATTTTGGGACTTTGGGACTACTTTGGGGTATTTGGGACTAGTTCGTGATTTTCGAGACTACTTCAGGATTTTAGAGATTTTCCGGACTATTTCGGGATTTATGTTACTATTTCGGGACTTAAAGTATTTTCGAACATCTCTGGACTATTCCGGGATTTTAAGAAGTAAAATTCGTTGAGTTGAGATGAGGACCCACCTCAAGTGAGTTTAGGTGAGTTAAAGTGGGGTAAGTTAAGGTGAATTGAGTTGAGTTGTGTTAAGATCAGTTGATTAGAGTTGGAGTGATTTGAGGTGAAAGGACTCGAGAAGAGTAAGGTATAACAAAATATTTAGTATGTAATTATCTACTAAGTGCATTAGTTCTTCAGTGGAAGTATTTTCCATGCACTGGCGCCAGTGTTGTCATAAAAATAAAGAGCTAAATTTGAGCATTTATTTACGTATAATACGCAATTTTAATAAAAACAACGAATTTTGTAAATTTGTGTGCTGAAAAAAACCAAATAAGGTGAAAAAAGCCAAATAAGGTGCATATATTTCGAATTCGTTGCTATGGCCACTAACATGTATGCCATATATATGTTACTGGCCAAACACGATCTAACGGCTAAACTAGGATAAACTGGTCTTTCCGAAGCAGGTTTGGACTAACCGGTTAAGTTTAGGCTTAACTAGATGATCCTAATATTAATGTAGTTTCCAATATATATATTTCCTGTACTTTTTATGGGTAGGAAATCTAATGATGCACTTCAAAGTATGTTATTTTAGACATTATCCGAGAAAATAGTAAGGGAAATTGAGAGAGCGAAAATGACAGCTAAACTTGCAAGTTTTATTAGATTGTTACCGGATAAATTTTTACTAGTAACTTTTTGCTAGTAAGAAAAAAAGCTGATGGTATGATGGTGGGTGTAATTCACACAAAAAGGAATTGTTTGTTGGACTGTTATAGTTGTGGCCTGGGCCACACTGGAGAAGTGTATGTGTGTTACATATCTAGCTTAAATCTCTGTTTTTATTTTTATATCTTTGCTTTTATCCTTTCCTTCATCTACATGTTCTCCTATTTAGATGATGTGAGGTGCGATGGCGTGATAGATAGCAAAATATATACAATATCGATAACCAAATCGATAAAAATTTCGAAATCAAAATCGATCAAAAAATCTTTAACAAAATACACGGAGTTTCCGATAAACAGAATCGGACACTCAAAAAAGTCCAGTTATGAAAAAAAAAATCTCCCATAAGCGGACGCGAAGCTCTAACATGCGGTAAATTTTGTTATTTTTT